GTCTAAACTAGATCAAAACCAGGTCTAAACCATAACTAAAACCAGGTCTAAACTAGATCAAAACCAGGTCTAAACCAGGTCTAAACCAGATCTAAACCAGGACTAAAACCGGATCTAAACTAGATCTAAACCAGGACTAAAACCAGGTCTAAACTAAATCTAAACCAGGTCTAAACCAGGACTAAAACCAGGTCTAAACTAGATCAAAACCAGGTCTAAACCATAACTAAAACCAGGTCTAAACTAGATCAAAACCAGGTCTAAACCAGGTCTAAACTAGATCAAAACCAGGTCTAAACCAGGTCTAAACCAGATCTAAACCAGGACTAAAACCAGATCTAAACCAGGTCTAAGCCAGATCTAAACCAGGACTAAAACCAGATCTAAACTAGATCTAAACTAGATCTAAACCAGGACTAAAACCAGGTCTAAACTAGATCTAAACCAGGTCTAAACCAGGTCTAAACTAGATCTAAACCAGGACTAAAACCAGGTCTAAACTAGATCTAAACCAGGACTAATTGAAATAAAATACTTCAATTAGTCTGACAGAAAATGTTACTTTGCCTGGACTATTAACTGAATAAATACAAGACAGAGACGTTTAATGCTACTGTGGAACATTTCAGGCAAAGCTTTCAAATCTCCACGGGAAAAAATCTGATGACAGACCCTCCACCAGAAAAGTTACACAATGCACCTTTAAGTGCTGTGGTTTTCTCTGTAAATCTGAGTTTCTGAGTCTGAGCGTGTGAACAGCTCTAAAAGAGATCAGTTTGAACTTTGACCTTTGTTTACTTGCATCTTGTTTTAATTTATTATATACATATATTAGATATGTTTATTTATGTGTTATATATATTATATTATTAAACTGTTACAACATACTGTAGGTCGACTCTAACAGTGTTTATCTGTCACCATAAGAGACAGTTACACCCGCAAGCAGCAATGAAGGGCCCTCTAAACCTGTTCTTTGTAGAGGTGTCAAATTATTGTGTTAATTGCGATTAATAAATTACAGTCATAGTTAGCATGTTATGTTTTTAATCACGTTAATGTCATTTTTAATCTCTAACTTTACTGTTTCTGTACGCGAGTTGCCTTATTATAAAATCTGTTTTTGTGTGTAGTTTCGACAACAACACATCGCACCCGCAAAGAATTGTAATTTTCATTCTCGTTCTCGCTGCATCTGCGATAAACCTGCACACGTCTGATCTCTGAAAACATCTCGACACAAACACAGAACAGACTCACCATCAGCATCAGCATCCCTCTGTCACAGAGAGAACATCTATATTCCACTGAGTCGTGTCCTTTAGTCCGACAGAAGTTGAAACACATCAGAGCACAAGAGCTTTTTTTTTTTTTTTCTCCACTTAGTTTATGCAAATTAGTCATGCGGTTTTAAGTTTTGTTTCTGTGAGACTTGCACAAAACTGCATTAATCACATTATAATGTCAAACGGGCTGATGTGGCTCTAGAGTCGTTATGGTTTATATATTGTAAAGTTGAGTTTATTTATTCTGATTAGTAATAGTAATAATAATGATACTTATATAAAACATTAATGATAGTATGAAAATAATGTAATAATGAATTCAAATGAAAATAACTCAAGTTGAAGCTTTTCTCAGCAATTTTTAGGTGAGATTAAAAAAGAGATTAATTAATTACAGATCATAAGTAATTAATCTCTCAATTTTTTTAATCGCCTGACAGCACTAGTTGTTTGGTCGTGTACATTAACCTGGAACATGTGGACACACAAATTCATTATGAAATACAATTTACAGACTTAAATTAAAACCAGTTGGTCTTTAAGATAATGAATGTAGATTTATGGAATAATTAAATCAGGTATTTTTGTAAGAAATGTTAAAAAATGCATAAAATTTGAAAGTTTACAGTTCAATGTGATTAATTGTGATGAATCATATTTCAAAAATGTGATTAATCTTGTAAACTTTTTTACTGTTTGACAACAGGAGTTGTTACTTTGTCAAAAACAGACCTGGAGTTTAGTTTAGTTTGATTCACACAGGTTTGTGTAATTCTTTATTATTAGTCTGTCTCCATGTGTGAATGAAAAACACAAGTCCAGTTTGTTTTTGACGAGGTAACAACATTATAACGTGTCTTAAAGAGTCACTTTTGTGTAATATTGGCGCTTTAATGATTGGAACAGCAGACATTTTGTGTGGGCTCTGTGTTTTCTCTTTTCTGACGTGACTTTTCTGTGTGCAGGCGTCCCGGCACAAAACAACAGCTCCACAGGTAAAGACGCTCACACTGACATTAGGTAAAGGGGCGGGCTTCAGTGCTCAGGTAAAGGGGCGGGGCTTCAGAGCTCAGGTTAAAGGGGCGGGGCTTCAGAGCTCAGGTAAAGGATGATGTTAAGTGTCTAATTGTTTTAACTCCCCTTCCCTTGGCTGCTCTGGCATGCCCAGGCCAACTCTGTAAATAAGAATTTGTTCTTAATGTTTTGCCTGGTAAAGTAAAGGTTAAATAAATAAATTAAAAAAGGGGCAGGGCTTCAGAGCTCAGGTGAAAGGGGCGGGGCTTCAGAGCTCAGGTAAAGGGGCGGGGCTTCAGTGCTCAGGTAAAGGGGCGGGGCTTCAGAGCTCAGGTAAAGGGGCGGGGCTTCAGAGCTCAGGTAAAGGGGCGGGGCTTCAGTACTCAGGTAAAGGGGCGGGGCTTCAGAACCCAGGTAAAGGGGCGGGGCTAACTCTGTCTTTTGTGTGTTCAGAGCTGCTCAGGCTGGTGGGAGGGGCCAGTCGCTGTGCTGGGACTGTGGAGGTCAAACACAAAGGAGAGTGGAGACGGATGACAAATAAATATGGCTACCAGATGGATCAGGGCCTGGAGAATGCAGCAGTGGTGTGCAGAGATCTGAACTGTGGATCTGTTCTTCATGTAGACACAAGATATGGCCTTCCAAAGAGTCCTGCATGGGACGTGTCTTACTGTCGGTGGACGTCTCCAGTGACACGGTGTCTCCAGGATTTGGGTATTATCACAGACGAGGGCCTGGACGTGGTGTGCTCAGGTAAGTCTGATCTTAAATCCTCTCATTCTGTTTCTCTCTGACACAATATATAAACAATACATTATTTTTTTCAGTTACCGCTGATTATTTGAGGTTACCCTTAACCTGAGCCTGTCCTAGCACAAATATAGTTAAAGAGGAGGTTTTATATACAATTGACTTTTCTGAGCTTTCTACCACATTATTACGTTCCCTCATTAAAATCCGTCCCCTTCCTGCTCCTTCTGTGGGTTCGTTCAGCCTGTGTAACACCTGCCACCTGGGTGACTCTTACCTGATCAGTGCTCTTTCCTGATTGGTGAGTTTTGCCCAAATCCTTATCGTTGATATGTTGTGTTTAACTCTGCGTTTGATTTTCTTCCAAATCCAACTTGGACCTTGGATTTGACGTCACATCCGAGCTTGAAGTGTATTATTATGTTTAGCGTGTCGGACTGTGTGGATTAGGATTATGACTATTCCCTCACTTTATGAAAACACTGCCACTTTAATAAATAAAATTTTTAAAATCTGCACTTCCTTTTATGTTCCTCTCTTCTGTTACAACCTCAGGAACGTTGTTCAGTTTAGACCACCACAATATGTCTCCCAAACCCACAGGCAGAGACACGGACGCAGTAAAGTACTGCAGTGATACAGACGCGGTAAAGTACTGCAGTGATACAGACGCTTTAAAGTACTGCAGTGATACAGACGCGGTAAAGTACTGCAGTGATACAGACGCGGTAAAGTACTGCGGTGATACAGACGCGGTAAAGTACTGCAGTGATACAGACGCGGTAAAGTACTGCAGTGATACAGACGCAGTAAAGTACTGCGGTGATACAGACGCGGTAAAGTACTGCAGTGATACAGACGCGGTAAAGTACTGCAGTGATACAGACGCGGTAAAGTACTGCAGTGATACAGACGCGGTAAAGTACTGCAGTGATACAGACGCGGTAAAGTACTGCAGTGATACAGACGCGGTAAAGTACTGCAGTGATACAGACGCGGTAAAGTACTGCGGTGATACGAGTACTGCGTGATACAGACGCGGTAAAGTACTGCGGTGATACAGACGCGGTAAAGTACTGCGGTACAGACGCGGTGTACTGCGGTGATACAGACGCGGTAAAGTACTGCGGTGATACAGACGCGGTAAAGTACTGCAGTGATACAGACGCGGTAAGTACGCGGTGATACAGACGCGGTAAAGTACTGCGGTGATACAGACGCGGTATAAAGTACTGCGGTGATACAGACGCGGTAAAGATAAAGTACTGCGGTGATACAGACGCGGTAAAGTACTGCGGTGATACAGACGTAAAGTACTGCGGTGAACAGACGCGGTAAAGTACTGCGGTGATACAGACGTGACGCGGTAAAGTACTGCGGTGATACAGACGCGGTAAAGTACTGCGGTGATACAGACGCGGTAAAGTACTGCGGTGATACAGACGCGGTAAAGTACTGCGGTGATACAGACGCGGTAAAGTACTGCGACGTGTACTGCACAGTGATACAGACGCGGTAAAGTACTGCAGTGATACAGACGCGGTAAAGTACTGCAGTGATACAGACGCGGTAAAGTACTGCGGTGATACAGACGCGGTAAAGTACTGCAGTGATACAGACGCGGTAAAGTACTGCGGTGATACAGACGCGGTAAAGTACTGCGGTGATACAGACGCGGTAAAGTACTGCGGTGATACAGACGCGGTAAAGTACTGCGGTGATACAGACGCGGTAAAGTACTGCAGTGATACAGACGCGGTAAAGTACTGCAGTGATACAGACGCGGTAAAGTACTGCAGTGATACAGACGCGGTAAAGTACTGCAGTGATACAGACGCGGTAAAGTACTGCAGTGATACAGACGCGGTAAAGTACTGCAGTGATACAGACGCTGTAAAAACACAAAGTGTCAAAACACAAACAGTTTACAGTGATTAAAAACTATCCCACATTTCCTTCCACCCACCAACTCACCCCAGACACACACACACACACACACACACACATACACACACACACACACACACACACACACGAATACATATAATAATAATAATAATAATAATAATAATGATAATGATAATGATAATGATGATGATCATTATAATCATTATTATTATTATTTTTTTTTTTTTATTTAACTAGAAGAAAGCAGTGACCCCCCAGTCACCCCCACGATGTTAGCGTCATGGGTGTGTCCACTCTGACTGTACCTAGGCTGTCGTGGTTAGGGTGGTGCAGTACAACTCAACAGTGCAGTATGTGGTGATACCACACCCCCTCCCCCACCCCCCATCTCCTGGAGTTAGAATATTTCCAGCGGCTCTGAAAACTCTCTCTGATGATGCTCTTGTTGCAGATGCACAATGTACCTTTGTTGTCGTGTGGATGTAGCGTGTGTAGTGGGAGAAGTAACAATTGGATGCTGCTGCATATCTCAAGCTCTCACTGTGGCAGGTCAGGTCAGAGTCCTGCACCAGGTCGGGTCAGAGTCCTGCACCAGGTCGGGTCAGAGTCCTGCACCAGGTCGGGTCAGAGTCCTGCACCAGGTCGGGTCAGAGTCCTGCACCAGGTCGGGTACTCGTAGACTTAAGAGAGAGAGAACCCCGAGCACAAGGAGCAGGTGTCTGCAAAGCGCGATCGAGTGACTGCTGTGTTTACGGTCATCCGATGGTCTACACAGGCGCACCTTAGTCCTGGGTTAGTCCGGGGTTAGTCCTGGGTTAGTCCTGGGTTAGTCCTGGGTTAGTCCTGGGTTAGTCCTGTGTTAGTCGTGTGTTAGTCCTGGGTTAGTCCTGGGTTAGTCCTGTGTTAGTCCTGTGTTAGTCCTGTTAGTCCTGGGTTAGTCCTGGGTTAGTCCTGTGTTAGTCCTGTGTTAGTCCTGTCCTGGGTTAGTCGTGTGTTAGTCGTGGGTTAGTCCTGTGTTAGTCCTGTGTTAGTCCTGTGTTAGTCCTGGGTTAGTCCTGGGTTAGTCCTGGGTTAGTCCTGTGTTAGTCCTGTGTTAGTCCTGGGTTAGTCCTGGGTTAGTCCTGGGTTAGTCCTGGGTTAGTCCTGGGTTAGTCCTGGGTTAGTCCTGTGTTAGTCCTGGGTTAGTCCTGGGTTAGTCCTGGGTTAGTCCTGTGTTAGTCCTGTGTTAGTCCTGGTTAGTCCTGGTTAGTCCTGTTAGTCCTGGGTTAGTCCTGGGTTAGTCCTGGGTTAGTCCTGTGTTAGTCCTGGGTTAGTCCTGGGTTAGTCCTGGGTTAGTCCTGGGTTATCACGGGCATGGGTGGTAACAGGTGGAATGCAGGACTCTGGGTCGGGTCACGTTGGTGATGTGCGGTGATCGCGGTGGCCCAACATGCACCGTAGTGGGTCTCAGTACCACAGTGATTCATTTCTGCGGTTATTGCGACAGCCCTAACTGTACCACAGACCTTCTCTGAACAGTCAGCTGTGAGAAAGGCTCTGAAGATCATCAGAGGTCCGTACTCGACACACAGTATGAGTCCTGCAGTCTGGAGGAGATACAGGGTTCTTTAACAAAAATAACAGGCAGAAAAACGTGTCTGTACCACAGACCATAAAATGTATTCATGAAACCTGAAACCTAAAAGCCGAGATATGAGCTTTTTCAAAAATCATTGATCTTTAGTGATACTGATTTGTCAAATTTCTCTTCACACAGTTTTCTACATATTTCCAGAAGAACATAGTTTCCAAAATATTTGTGAACATCATTTGATTTTCTCTTCGGTGGTGTTTGAGGATTGATCATGTGTTTTGCTCTTAATGAATTTTTTACAAGGTGAAGTTTGGTTTTGAATTTTATGTTTCTTCCCAAATTTCAATCAAATAGTTATAGTCTTTTTGTTTAAAATGTATCTGTATCTAAACATAAATCTTGCCATTACTTCAGATAATTTGTGTCTCGTATTATTTTTGTGTAATTTCCAATTTAATCCATCCTCCAGCTTCTCTGGTGGGACCCGAGGTGTTCCCAGACCAGCTCAGAGACATAGTCCCTCCAGCGTGTCCTGAGTCTTCCAGAACCTCCTTCTGCAGGGACATGCCCAATTTAAATTGAGTTCTGTAGTTGTTCGTAGGAACTTGCTTTCCAAGACTCTTTGGTGTATTTCCAGTGTTTTCTATTGGCTCAAAGTGATGATGTCACATGTGTCCACAGACTTTGTGCGTCTGGACTCAGGGCCCAGTCCGTGCTCAGGATCAGTGCAGATCTGGAACCAGTCCTGGACCAGTGTCTGTGAAGGGGCCTTGGACCTGCAGAGTGCAGAGGTGCTGTGCAGGGAGCTGAGCTGTGGGGTTCCTTTTCTCTTCCAGGGGGCGCTCTCTCCTCTGGGGCAGATGTTCCACTGTGAGGGTCATGAGTCTGCTCTGATGGACTGTCCCCGCTCCCACTCAAGGACCTGCTCCTCTGGAGCCACTGTCAACCTCACCTGCTCAGGTAAAGGGG